TCTCTCTCTCTCTCTCTCTGTGTGTGTGTGTGTGTGTGTGTGTCCCACCCACCCCAATACTGGGGATTGAATCTAGAGCAGTGGTCCTCAACCTTTCTAATCTTGTGACCCTTTAGTTCAGTTCCTCATGCTGTGGTGACCCCTAACCATAAAATTGTTTTCATTGCTACTTTTTAACTGTCATTTTGCTACCATTAGGAATTATTATGTAAACATCTGTTTTCCAATGGTCTTAGGCAACCCCTGTGAAAGGGTCATTCAACCCACAGTGAGAGAACCACTGTCCCAGAGCTTCACACATGTTAGGCAAGCCATTTATCATTGAGCTGTGTCCTCAGCCTCTTATGTTTTGTGATAAGGTCTCATGTAGACTGGATGGTCTCAAACTTCATGTAGCTGAAGAGGACTCTTAACTCATGCTCTTCCTCCCTCCACCTCCCCACTGCCTATACTACAATGTGCACCACTGTTTTAGTTTATGTGTTACTGAAGGTGGGCCAGGGCTTCCTGCATGCAAACTAGGCATCTACCAACTAAGCCACACCCCCAGTCCTGCTCTGTTTTTTTTTCTAATCCATTCTACACATACATGCATATACACATGCCTTTAAAAATTTGTTTTATTTTATGTATATAGATGTTTTGCCTGCATGTATGTCTGGCTCCTACAGAAGTCAGAAAAGGGCACTGAATCCCTTGGAACTGGAGTTACAGATTGTTGTGAGTCACCATGTGGGTGCTGGGAACCAAACCTGGGTCCTCTGGAAAGGCAGTCAATGCTCTTAACCACTGAGCCATGTCTTCACTTGAGAAACTGGGGTCTCAGCCAGCAGTGTGACACTCGCCTTTAATCCCAGCACTTGGGAGGCAGAGGCAAGCATATCTCTGAGTCTGGTCTACAGAGTGAGTTCCAGGACAGCCAGGGCCACACAGAGATACCCTGTCTTGAAACAACAACAACAAAAACCAAAAGAACTGAGGTCTCATTACATACCCCTGGTTGCCCTTAGCCTTGCCATTTTCCTGCCTCCATCTCCTGAGTGCTGGGATTACAGATGTGTTCCACCATGACCGGCCTTCTTAAGCCCTGCTTTATTCAGGAACCTCAGAACTCCTCAGGAACCCTCATACCTGAAGGCAAACTGTGTGCCACCCCCCCAACTATACCCCTGGGGTTGCCTCTGTCTGGAGCAACTGTCAAACACACTGATGATTTGGACTCTTTGGAGGTCATCTGGGATGGGGGTGCAGAGAGGACCAGAGTGTCCACCCCAGGGTGGAGATCTTCCAGCCCAGTCTTAGGGATACACCTGATTTCAGAGCCCCCAGAATGGGGATCTTTGCCAAATGCCCAGAACCAGTGTTCTGACCACTGCCCCTGGATCACTGGGTACAGATTGTCTCTGTCCCCAACTCATTATGAAGGAGACATGCTGGTCCTCTTATCACCTAGTCCCAGGTTTCTAGAAATTGTGTCCATTTTTTTCTTTTCATTTCAGACAGGGTCTTATATAGCCCAGGCTAGCCTGGAACTCACTATGTAGCTGAGGATGACACTGAACTTCTGATCTTCTTGTCTTTTCCTCCCAAGTGCTGGGAATACAGGTCTGCATAACCACACCAAATTTATAGTACTGGGAATCAAACCCAGGGCTTCCTGCATGCCCCAGACCCCTAAAATTCCATAAGTCTTTACAAATTTTTATGAAACTATTTAAAATTTTTATTGCATTTTATGTGCATCTTTGCCGGCATATATGCCTGGTACCTGTGGAGGCCAGAAATGAGGGTCAGATTCCCTGGAACTGGAGCTACAGATGGTTGTGAACCACCATGTGGGTGCTGGGCATTAAATCCAGGTCCTCTGGAAGAGCATCCAGTGCTCCTAACCACCGAGCCATCCTACACTTTTTTATGTGTGTATATGTAGGCATGTCTTGGCACTTGTGTGGAGGTCAGAGATGAAGTTGCTAAAACTGGTTCTTTCCACAGTGTGGGTCCTGGGATTGAACTCGGGTCATCCGGCTTGACGGCAGACACCCTTACTTGCTGAGCCATCTCACAGGTTCAAATTCCACAAGTCCTAAAGGGAATTGTCCAAAGGGACTTCCCTAGATTCACAGACCTCAAGGGTAATGTAGGGTGTCACCTATTTAAGAAGACAGCTCCAGCCCTGCAGTGGTGGCGCACATCTTTAATCCCAGCAGAGGCAGAGGCAGAGGCAGGAGGCAGGAGAGGCAGGAGAGGCAGGAGAGGCAGGAGAGGCAGGAGGCAGGAGGCATCTCTGGTATGAGAACACACAGAGAAACCCTGTCTCAAAACAAGCGAAAGAAAAATATCCCTAGCGACCTACCACTTGCCTACCACAGAGGGTTATGGGGGGGGGTGCGGGGGCGGGCAAGGTGTCCCCTGATGAGGA